CAGCAGACCGTACGACAGCCGCGGGCCTCTCCGCCCTCCTGGATCCTGCTTCTGACCCATGCCTGGGCCAGCCACCCCGCCCCCTCTGTGAGTCCCAGAGCTCCGTGTGCTTTGCAGGTTTCCTCAGTTTTCTCCCTTCTTCTGCGCCCCTCTAGCTGCCATACCAGCCATGCTTCTTCTCAACCAAATTTATGTTACTTAGAGAGCGTTTTGGCTCATTTTCCATTTCTGAGCTTTCTTTTTATCCTAGGTTTGTGTACCACCTGCAAGTCTTTCCAAAGCTGATGGAAAGACAGAAATTCTCTTTTTAAATGTAAGAGCGTGTTTATGCATCCGTTATTCTGTTAGGTAAATAGTTTTTTTGAGAGCCCACCAAGGACCAATTATTAGGCTGGAATTTGTGTGGAGTGGACGGGCTTTGGATGGTATCAGGCAAGAGTGTAAAAACAGTATGGAAATAAATGATGCACGGCCCACTAGGAAGGAGGCTTGTTAGAAACATATGGAAGATACAGGCAGTTTATTTTGAGTGTTGGAGGGCCTGCCCGACTATCCCTGGCTGGTGGCATTTCCCGATGTGCGAGTCCTGGCTGATGCTGGGTTTGCTCTCTCCCAGGTGTGTTCCCTCCCGTGCAATCTCTTCCTCTCCCTCTGGCTTCCACTCCTCTGGGGCACTTCCCTTTTCCCAGCTGGCACCGTCTGGTCGTCCTTGAACACAACTGTCGTTTTTCTTTTCCCCCAGTAATTTTTCTACAGTTCTGAGTACTTGGTGCTTTTTTGTCATTAAAAAAGCCCTTAAAAAACCCTTTTTCTTCTTAACATTCTGAGTACCTGCGGAAGCAAGGTTGTGCACCTGTGCATCTTTCACGTCTCCATGGTGCTTCACCTGGGACAGGTGCCAGTAAATGCTGGGGGACCTGATCTAATTTTCTTTACTGTAGTAAAAAAAATATGTGTTATTTTATGAAGCTCTGAGGGCAGAAGAAATTTTAATTGAATAAACTCGTTATTTCAAATGAAGTAAAATACGTTTTACAGTTTTGAGGAAATGTCAATCATCAGCAGCCCTTCTGAGTCCTCTGTGGTGGGGGGGAAAGGTGTCAATGCATGCATGCACACAACTATGTGGATTTTTCAGGGAAATGGCTGTGTTTTTCCCTTCAAAATTCACACAGGCCAACAACATCATGTTAAGCATATATCTGAAATGTGCATGCATTTCCTAACACAAATATTTCTGGTTTCATATAGCCAAATACTGTTTTAGATATTTGTCTGCTTCTTCTTTTTTAAATCAAACCTCTTATTGAAAGAATTAGAAATTAGAAATGTGCAGGACTTAAGGGTGCCCCAGAGGTTATCAGTTTTACTGAAAGGCTGAAAAATTGTACCTATAAAGAAAACTTACAGAATTTTACATTTTTCTAGGAATTCAGGAATGATTGGACATTGCAGATTTGTTTATATGTTCATTATTTTCAAAATATGCTCTTAACAAGCTCTTAATAAAAAGAAACTTTTCTAACAGATCATGTCTATTTATTTAAAAACCTGTAGAAAACTTCAAAATTTGCCATCCACTTTTTTCAAAGAAATGGAACAAATAATCCTAAAATTTGTATGGAACCAGAAAAGACCCCCAAATAGCCAGAGGAATGTTGAAAAGCAAAGCAAAGCTGGCGGCATCACAACTCCGGACTTTCAGCTCTATTACAAAGTTGTCATCATCAAGACAGTATGGTACTGGCACAAAAACAGACACATAGATCGATGGAACAGAATCGAGAGCCCAGAAATGGACCTTCAACTCGATGGTCAACTCATCTTTGACAAAGCAGGAAAGAACGTCCAGTGGAAAAAAGACAGTCTCTTCCACAAATGGTGATGGGAAAATTGGACAGCCACAAGCAGAAAAATGAAACTGGACCATTTCCTTACACCACACACAAAAATAGACTCCAAATGGTTGAAAGACCTAAACGTGAGACAGGAGTCCATCAAAATCCTAAAGGAGAACACAGGCAGCAACCTCTTCGACCTCAGCTGCAGCAACTTCTTCCTAGAAACATCGCCAAAGGCAATGGAAGCAAGGGCAAAAATGAACTATTGTTATTTCATCAAGATAAAAAGTTTTGCACAGCATAAGAGACAGTCCACGAAACTAAAAGACAACCGACAGAATGGGAGAAAATATTTGCAAATGACATATCAGATCAAGGGCTAGTATCCAAAATCTATAAAGAACTTATCAAACTCAACACCCAAAGAACAAATGATCCAATCAAGAAATGGGCAGAAGACATGAACAGACATTTTTCCAAAGAAGATATCCAAATGGCCAACAGGCACATGAAAAAGTGCTCACCATCGCTCGGCATCAGGGAAATCCAAAGCAAAACCTCAATGAGATACCACCTCACACCAGTCAGAATGGATAAAATTAACAAGTCAGGAAACGACAGATGTTGGAGGGGATGTGGAGAAAGGGGAACCCTCCTACACTGTTGGTGGGAATGCAAGCTGGTGCAACCACTCTGGAAAACAGTATGGAGGTTCCTCAAAAAGTTGAAAATAGAGCTACCCTATGATCCAGCAATTGCACTCCTGGGTATTTACCACAAAGATACAAATGTAGGGATCCAAAGGGGTACATGCACCCCGGTGTTTATAGCAGCAATGTCCACAATAGCCAAACTGTGGAGAGAGCCAAGATGTCCATTGACACATGAATGGATAAAGAAGAAATGGTATATATACACAATGGCATATTATGCAGCCATCAAAAGGAATGAGATCTTGCCATTTGCAACGACGTGGATGGAACTGGAGAGTGTTATGCTGAGTGAAATAAGTCAATCAGGGAAGGACATGTATCATATGACCTCACTGATATGAGGAATTCTTAATCTCAGGAAACAAACTGAGGGTTGCTGGAGTGGTGGGGGGTGGGAGGGATGAGGTGGCTGGGTGATAGACATTGGGGAGGGTATGTGCTATGGTGAGCGCTGTGAACTGTGCAAGACTGTTGAATCACAGACCTGTACCTCTGAAACAAATAATGCAATATATGTTAAGGGAAAAAAAAAAAGATAGCAGGAGGGGAAGAATGAAGGGGGGTAAATTGGAGGGGGAGACGAACCATGAGAGACGATGGACTCTGAGAAACAAACTGAGGGTTCTAGAGGGGAGGGGGTGGGGGGATGGGTTAGCCTGGTGATGGGTATTAAAGAGGGCACGTTCTGCGTGGAGCACCGGGTGTTATGCACAAACAATGAATCGTGGAACACTACATCAAAAACTAATGATGTAATGTATGGTGATTAACATAACAATAAAAAAATTTAAAGAAAAAAATTAACACCTTGCCAAAAAAAAACAACAAACAAAACTTCATAATTAATGGTGGCAGTTTAGATCCATCCCATTAAACTCAGAAATAACATAAGGATAACCATTATCAACCACTGTGTCTACTGAAGTTTAAAGAAAAGAAAAAAAATTATAAAAATCAGAGATGGAGAGACTACAATGTTTTTATTTGCAGGTGATAAGATCGCTACAGACAAATCCAAAATAATTTTAACAAAGATCCCATTGTAACAAAGATCCCACTCGTAATTTCAACAATGTTTCTAAAGCTCTGGTAATAAACCCACTAAATGTGTGTAAAATCTTTACAGGGAAAATTATGAAGCATTACTGAATAGTTGAATAAATGGAGATCCATCTCACTTTCATAGCTAGAAAATCCTTTATCTCAAATATATGAATATTTTCCAAATTAGTCTTCCAATTACACTAAATTCCAATCAAAATCTAAAGCAGGCTTTTCAGAGACCTGCATTAACTTCTCCTGAGATTCATATGGAAGAGCAGAAGGCCAGGAGTAGCTAGAAAGTCTGAAGAATTACAAGGTTGAGGAATTTGTCCTTCCAAATATCATGATTTATCATAAATCCATAGTAATTAAGGAAGTATTATATTATTACAGAAATAGATGTGTAAAGCAATGAGTAGAATGAAGAGCTCAGAATCAGACTGTATTGGTTTCCTAAGACTGTTGTCACAAAGCACCACAAAAGTAGGTGGCCTAAACAAAAAAATGTATTCTTGCATAGTTCTGGGGTCTAGAAGTCCACAATCAAGGTCTCTGCAGGACCCTGCTTTTTCTCAAGGCTCTAGGGAAGAATAGCCCTTGCCTCCCCTAGCTTCTGGTATTGCCCAAAGTCCTGGGGTCCTTGGCTTGCAGATGTTTCTCTCTAACCCGTGTCTTCATCATCAGATGGCCCTTCCCTGTGTGTCTCTGTGACCCCATGTCCCTCTTCTTAGAAGGACACCGCTCCTTGGATTAGGTTCCACCCTAATCCAGTATGATTTCGTCTTAATGTGTTGATACTCACAAAGACCCTATTTCCAAACAAGTCACGCACACAGCTTCTGGGGATCAGGATTGGAACGTATTTTCGGGGGGACACAATTCAGCCTACAACACAGACCAACTCATACACAGAATATTGATACTACAAAGGTCACATTACACAACCATCCAGAAAGACTGCCATAGTCAATAGAATAAATGCTGCTGGAAAAATTGGCTGTTTATGTGCGTCAAGAAAGTGAGGATCTATTACCTGGAAAACAAGTCTGTGTAAATATAAAGTAGAATGACTTGGGGCACCTGCTGTCATTTATTAGTGGGTTGGTTCTAGGAAATTATCCACGCTTCTGGAACTTGGGTTTCCTACATCTCAGATGAGGACCGCAGCACCAGTACCACTACGTCATTGGGAGGATGACGTTGGACACAGCAGAGAACCAGCATGTCTAGTGCTTGCCGCCTCCACGGCTCAGAGCCCGGATGAGTTTTCCATCCTTCTCTTTCCATGGCCATGTTTCCAGCTCCAAATGTGATACTGGACAGAGACCGTAGCTTACAGAGTGGTTTTGGTTTACACAGGTAGCTTCCTAACAGCTTTTCTTATTAAAAAAAAGTGGAAACTGTGTTGTATGAAAGAGAGAAGGTGAGCAGTCCCCTTGACAAGGAGGGACGAGGCTGTTGGGCCTGATGCCATGCACACGGCCAGGCATTGCTGCCTCCCTGGCGGCCCCTGAGCATCATCTTTTGCTTCTCTAATAGAGTGCGGGGACAGAGGGGAGCTTCGCGTGTGCTCTGTGGTGAGCACAGCCGACTGTCTAGAGAAGCGGGGTCGCTACATCGTACACCGGAAACTAATGTAACAGTGTGTATCAACTATAGCCCCCAAAATAAAAGTTTCCTTCCCATTGTATGTCAACTGGGCGAATCTCAAACTTATGGAGGCATCGCTTTCTGAAAGTCTCACAGGTCTCAAATAGTATTTCGTTATTTATTTTTATTTTTAATTATTCGATGATTTATTTATTTTTTAAATTTACTTTTATTTATATATTTATTTTTCTTATGTTATGTTAGTCACCACGCGTCACATCATTAGTTTTTGATGTGGTGGTCCGTGATTCATTGTGTGTGCGTGATACACCCAGCGCTCACCGGGTCGCGTCACGGGGCTCACCCACCGCGCCCCCCTCCCCTCTAGACCCTCAGTTTGTCTGCCGGAGCCCGTCGTCTCTCATGGTCCGTCTCCCCCTCCGATTCATCGAACTTACACCTGCAATGTTTCAAGATACCGTTCTCACGGACTTTGATGTTTCCCCCATTTGGATTTTAGTACTGGAAAATTTGCCTGCAGTCTTCCTTTTTGCCTTCAAATGGGGACTGACCCCCCAATAAATTAAACTACACACACCAGAAACCAAACCAACCACACTGAACAAAGAAATAAAAAAAGATTATTCCTAATATAGAATAGAATATTGCAGTTCAAACTGTAAAAGAGCTGGATTTGTGGTTCCAGACGATAAATTTGGGTCAACTTTGACTTTCTAGACCTAGCTGGATGACTCTCCATTACCAGCTGCATTTTGTAAAAGCTTCAGATGAATGTTTATTGATGAATTTGAGTTGTGTTAGCATGTAAATCCCTTTACATATCCGTTTATAAAGTTCTGTATCACAGATAAAGCCAAGAAAAACATTTTTTCTTCCTTTCTTATAGGAGAAAAATGAACTAATACCTCTGAATGGTTTTTATTTAGGGATAAATAATATACATTGTTTTCCTTTAGTTGGAAATTTATAAATAGAGTTAGTGATGATCACATATGGGATTCTGGTTTAGTTACCACAGGATTGTGTTCAGTTTATGTTGCTAGATAAGATAATAGTAAAAGAGTATAATTGGTATTAAAAGAAAAAAAAAGAGCTTTATCGTATTCTTTATTGCAATTAGGTATTTTAAAATGCCTATAAAGCCATGAGGCTGCATGAAATTGTTTGCTCCTTGTAGATGTGTGATGTGTGTATGGATAATTTCTGACTTTGACTGATGGAGAACCATGCACAATGGCCATTGATGCTATGTCTTGGGACTATGGTTTTCATTAGACTGGTCTTTGCATGCATTTATTTTCACCAAGGAAATAGTGGCTTCTAGCATGATGATAACTGACTACTCTTCAGACTTTATTAGGTTTTCTTCTCCAAAACTAGGTCCAAAAATGTAGCTCTAAGCAGCTATCCATGCTAACTACATCTAGCTTGACTGAAATGCTGAGCTCATAGTCAAAACTTATGGGGAAATAAAATTTTAGAAGCTCCTGTGCAGACCTTGCCAGATAATGACTTTGGTCATAAGTAGACACCATATGAAGCATTATTTATATTTGAGTCAACTTTATTTAACAACATTTAACACATGCATATCAAATCTTTAAGCAATGATTTTTGAAATTATCCATCTAAAAATTATTTTAAGGCTATTTCTCCTTTTCTGCCTTCTCTCATGCATTTATAGAAAAGTTACTAGTGTCAGCCCTAGACCAGGGGATTAATACACCCTATTTCATTTTCATCCGAGCTCTGTGAGATAGGGGTATTATCATCGCTGTCACGGCCATTGTTGTTGATATCTTGTGTTTTACAAATGAGAAAACTGAAGATTGAAAGGAGTTAAGTAATTGGCTCAGGATCCCCAAAATAGTAAGTGTTGAGTGAATAGAGAGTGTAGGACAAACCAAAATAACTCTTGAAAAAAATTTGTGGGGTTTTCTTAATGATTCAGAGAATGTGATTTATTAAAACAATGAAAGAAAAAAAGGAGAGAAGGAGAAAGAAAAGAAAGAGAGAGAGAGAGAGAGGGAGGGAGGAAAGGAAGAGAGGAAGAATATTTGGAAGCTGTTGATAGGTAAGGGTAATGCTACACGGATTAAGTCCTGTCATCCTATCTTGTTACAAAGTTGTGGCCGGATCAGGAATTCTGATCTGAGAGAGACACCGTTTTCATTTCCCTTCCTTCCTCAATGACATAACAGATGCAGTACTTACTGCCTTATTTTTCTCAAAGTGGAACATTTTCATTTTCTTTTCCTTCTCTTCTCTTTTGGTTTGTTCACTTGTCACAAAGAAATTTTCACTGAAATACTATAATTTTCCTAATAGTCAGTGAAGATTACCTCAGAGCACCAGAGACCACCGGAGAGCATCAGGCTGAGCGGTCTGGGGGTGGGGCGGGGGGTTCATCCTGACTTGTCTGCCGCAGCCTGTCTTCTGAGAGACCAGCGGGGGTCGGGACGATACTGACGGGGAGCCTGCCCAGCTGTTCCGTTTCCCCACCACATTTCCTCCGTGCTTTCCAGCCACCCTCCTCCCTCCCTCCCTCCCCTCCCCTCCTCCCTCTCGCTCCCTCCTCTCTCTCTCCCTCTCCCTCTCTCTTCCCCCCCCTTTTTCTCCCTCTCTCCCTGTCTTTCTCTCCCTTTCTATAACTGCACATTGGGAAACAAATTTCCGCAGTTGAAAAGAAATACAGGCTTTGGAGTCAGAATATGCAGGATCTGCCAAAGGCATGCAGCCTTGGGCAAAGCACTTAACATTTTGAACTTCAGTCTCCCATATGTAGAAGGGAGATAATATTATATAGGAGATAATATTATAGACTGTCAATTTTCTAATAAAGACTATATGATACAGCATAGACAGATCTGTTAGTGTTTGGGATGTAAACTAGACACTAAATGTTATTTCCATTTCTTTCTCAATATAATTTTATTACTTGTCTCTGACAAAGCGTTTTATTTGACATGTACACACCAGCTTGAAATATGAGTCCATAAGCACAGTCTGAAGCAAAAGTATAAATGATTTTCAGTGAAGTTAAGTTCATTAAATAAAAATGCCTGTTATTTCTAAGGTGCCATATTTGGCGCAACAGAGGATGAGACTGAGTGAAGCATGATCTCTATTTCTAAGGTATTACATTCTACTTGAATCTTAAGGAGAAAAGTTAAAAAATTACTAGGTTAGTTAGTAGGTTGGATCTTACATAATGATGAATAATCTAGATTGTAAATAGTGGCTTAAATTATTAAAGCAATGATCAGAGACATAAGGCTTCCATAGAAAGAAGTATTGTGGTTCTAAGGGTTATCAGGGATATTCATAAGATACTAAATAAAACAAAGAAACATATTGATGAATTTTTTAAGGATGAAACAAAATAAATGTAGACATCCCTCAATTTAATTATGCACTGGGATCTGGCAGCAAAATTTAAATTGTATTCTTTTCAGACTGTCCCACTTTAAGGCTTATTGCTAGTGTTCCTAACATTTGGAGCCTTTGTGGCTTTTCTGGGTTTATCACTATCAGAACTTTTGGGATCTCGAATGCTGTTCTTTTCATAGGATCAGCATTAATAATGTCGGGACCCTTCAAGAACACAGTAGGACTCATGAAATGTACAACACATGGTGGTCATTATAAAGCAAAAATGGAATCCAAGACTAAACCTGAGAAAGAATTAGTCTTTGAGCATAATTAAATGCCAGCCACGATTAGATGCGCTTGAAAGAATATCTGCAACAAGATGTTTGAAAATTGTTGCAGAAAACTAAAGAAGTAGATAACTTTGAAACATAGAACTCATTTCTTATCATTAACTTGGAAGTGTAGAAATACATCTTTTATAATTGGCATGACAAGAGAAATAATTTATTAACATGTAGAAGAGAGTCCCAAGCTTCCAGAGAAGGGATGGTTAATTGCAGCAGTAATCAAGTTGGAGTCATACTACTTCCCATTCTTTACTGAGTGGATCAGTTGCTTTCTTAAATGATTTCCTGGATCGTTTGGAGGAGGAAATAATTTTCCTGACTTTAAGCCTGAACCACCTTTGCGATAGCATTTTTGTTTTAAGCTTATGATCCACTCTTTAAAGAGATGGTTCTTTTTTAAGCCACTGTTCTAAGGTGCCAGTATGGGGTAAGCAAAGCTGTGGTAAGCTGATTTATACATGCTGCAAACATCATTTTAGCACCTGGGTGCTTGCTGGCAAAAATGACTCTCTCCCTCTGAAGATTATTATAATAATCTTAGCTATAAGCATAACTGGTGAATATTCTCAATGTATCTTCCTTGAAATTCTCCACCATCAGCAGATTATCGCTGGATCCTGTCCTGCCCACCCCCCCCCCCATGCAGGAAAAAAATACTTAAAGGTAACACCAGACAGGAAGAGCTTCCTTAAGTGGCAAATGATTAAAATACCATAATCATCTCCAATTGTTTTTGGTACTTGAAGATATTTTTCTGTGCAGGAGCACAGCTTTATGAAATGCTGGCTAGAGTTCATAATAATTCCATTACTTAGATTCCAGACAGGTAAGACAAAAGAGGTCTAGGGCTCTAGGTATTTAATTATAATTGTAACTCTTGTTGAGAATCCATGATAAGTATCACTGTGTTGCCGCAACGGGAGAAAGAGATCATGGTAGTGAGTGTGTTTCATGTTTTTGTTACACCTGCTTCCATGTGCTTTCTTTGTCTTCTGCAATGTCATTGTGAGTCAGCTGGGGTACTTGCTACTTACCTGCCTTCTAGGTCACATTGTTTCTCTTACTGCATATCCTATACTTTTACATTCATTCATTGAGGTAAATTTCATGACATATATTTTAGATCTAGATTATCATTTAGGTACTTTTTTATAGATTCTAATTATATGGTAAAATTTTGGTGTCTATTACCTCTT